GGTGGGAGGCGGTGAAGGGGTGGTTCCTTTCATTTTCTTCGTCGCCTGGCACCTCTGACGGGTCCTGGTCTGCCCTATCCAATACAACATCATATAGATGGCCTTCTTCTGTGCCTGACCCTTAACACGCGCTCGGGTGGCCGGCTAGATACCCTTTGCTCGGGTGGGTGGGGGTGGGGGGGGGGGGGAAATTTGGCCCCCTGAGATCTCGGGAACTATGAAAGCTAGAAATGCCAAATTTACAGGGTGTCTTGACCTGTACGTCAATTCACATAGGTCAAAGTTTGAGCTTCCTAGATAATAATCTTCGGGTCAAATAAGGTCAAAAAAGGTCAAAAATTTCATGTTGGTCTCTAAAGTGCCCCCAGAACTTAGGCAGCTGTTTCTAAGCAAAAGGTCACAACCCTATTTTAGGTCAGTGACCTTGTTTGACCTTTTGAAGGTCATGGTGACCAAAATCGTACCAGACTGCTCTAAGCTTTGCACTTGAATAAGCGACAAAGATTACGCTAGGCAGTATGCTCCTAAAACAAATTGTCGACCTGGGTCATCTTAGGTCAATGACCTTTTCTGACCTCTAGGAAGTCAATGGAAGATGTATAATGCGGTTCCTGTCGTCAACAAATTCGAAATGAGTACCACAAACTATCCCATACAGAAATAAATCTAGAGACCATAGAGAAATAAATCAGGTTGGTCTTGACCTTGGTCTGACCTTCACACCTGACCTTAGATCAACGCAATTTGTTCATTAAACATTTGTGGTGCCTGAGAGAGCATCTCAAGGATACATGTCTTCGTCAACACTCCGTTATTGTATCGGATTGGACGATTCCCTAGAAATTGCCCTCGCTGAAACCATGGCCTGACTTTGACCCGCTATAGGTCAGCGACCTTACAAGGTTTATCTTAATTTTCATGTCAAACGATCCGCTATTCAATTGTCGACGGCCATGCAAAATTTTGGTGCGGCGACACCGCGCCGTTCGGGAACCATTATGGAAAAACCTCCGGGAGGGGTCAATTTGACATCCCACCCGAACGCGTGTTAAGGAAAGCATGCACATTGGTCTTGTGAATATAACTGAGTGCGCGTCCTTTAGCAGGTCTTCAGCAAAGAGGCTGCAGTAATGTAGCGGCTATCTATGTTCTGATTCACAAATCAGCTTCCTTATAATTTGGAATGTCACAGCACGCCCAACGCTGATTAAGCCACTGACATCAGTGACTATGAACTGCGAAGTTTTCGCGAATACTTCGGTAATATAGGGCCACAATGGGCTGTGTCAAACGCCTGTGTGGTTTTTAATACACCCCTCTATATTTAGCCCGTAAAGCCTAAATATAGAGGGGTGGTAATTGTATTAATAATAGATAATTGATAATAGTTGGTAATTAATAAGAGGCAATTGCACATTTTTATGGGTTTTGAACTGAAGTCGACATCTTAAAGACCTTTCGATACTGTTACAATCCTGCCATTCCTAAGACCTAGGTAACTTTAGTTTCTGAGCTACGCTCCCGCAAAAATGGGGAAAGAAATATCGGGGAAAGTGTATTCGGGGTCACATCGCGGCGGACCACCCCACACACAACGGCGAACTGCCGCACGCGACGCCAACAGAGAGACTCCCTCTATGCGCCCCGAGCAGCACCTCCTACACTCCTTTCAAGCCCACCCGCAACACGATCGGCGTGCGACTCGCCGGTGCCACCGCGTCCCACCCTACCGCGTCTACGGGCTAACGCATCGCCCCTGAGCCGTGACCGTTTCCCTACGTTAACACTGTCCTGGGGCGTGATCTATTGCTACACATGGTCTATACCGCTACACCCACCCTTGATCTTCAAAGATCATACTCTCACACCAACGTTCATACTATCCAATCACCCGACACACACTGTCCATAAAGTTGGCCCGGTTGCCGGCGCACACGCTGGCTGCGTCGCAGCGGCATCGTCTCGACTTCTTCCGCCTGCTGCTCAAGACAGGCCGGGATGCCCACCGGTTCCGTCCCAGTCGCCGCTGATGCGTGCTCCGCGTTGTCCGGGTTGTCAGCCAACAGCCATCTTCCATCACGTCGCCGTCCGGCGTCTCGACGACGACACCGGCCGCGGGAGACCGCTCCATCGCCCCACCGGCCGCGGGAGACCGACCCGTCGCTCCACCGGCCGCGGGAGCTGCTCCACCGCTCCACCGGTCGCAGGAGGCTGCTCCGCCGTTCCACCGACCGCGGGAGGCTGCTCCACCGTTCCACCGCCATCTGCAGCACTGGCGCTGGCGTCCGTCCACTTCCAGGCAACCGTCTACGCCTGCTGCTCGCCGCTAAACCTCGCCGTAAAGTCGGTTGCATCCGCCTCCAGACCTCCTGGGTCACAGCTGCCTCCGCACAGAACCACACGTCTGTCGGCGTCCTCACGCTGATACCTCCCAAGGCGGGGACACGGCGCTCGCGCTGACGCGGCGTCCCCCGACTCGCTTTCCGTCCAGCGCCGCGGGCAGGCGACGACGACCTGGCCCAACTCACCGCACGTCCAGCAGCGTCGTAGTGAGCGCCTTGTCGGTTCGCGGAGGCGCCTCTGCACGCGCCACGGCCGCTGCCACAGCGACGCGTTCATCGCTGAGCACGGCCCGTGCCCGTGCGAGAACGCTCGCTAGGTCCAGCGCGACGATCCATCGTACGCCGGGATGAGCCGGCGTCAAACGGCCCGCCTCCATCCCGCGTGACGGCCCTGCTCCCGCTGGCTGACGCTGGTGTCGTCGCGCCACCAGCCGTGATGGACGTCGTCACACCGCCTGCAGCCGCTGCCGGGGTCTCGGGCATTTTTGCCGAAATAGCTTGTATTCGGGGTCACATCGCCGCGGACCACCCCACACACAACGGCGAACTGCCGCACCCAACGCCGAGAGACTCACTCTACACGCCCCGAGCAGTATCTCTTATGCCTCATTCAAGCCCACCCGCAACACGATCGGCGTGCCACTCGCCGGCATCACCGCGTCCCACCCCACCGCGTTCACGGGCCAACGCATCGCCCCTGAGCCGTGACCGATTCCCTACGTTAACACTGTCCTGGGGCATGATCTATTGCCACATATGGTCCACTGCTACAGAAAGGAAAATGGAATATCAACGTCATTCAATACGCTATTTAAATCCTGCTATTCCAAAGTCCATGCGGCGATCAAGACCAAAAAAATATAATCGTGGAGGCGTTCACATCTGGCGTTGGTGAGCGCGATTTCCATAGCATAGCGACCTGCAATTGGCTCTCAATCAATGGTGTTCATAGTACGATGACGCAGTCAAACCATGACATATTGTGGAGAATATATACAAAACAGAGAATTGTGCTGTCTGGAGCAGTCCTTTCCTTTAAAAACGCATACCAAGAGTTATCAGTGAACTTGTTTCACCATTTCTTACGCTTACTTCAATACCTTCAAATGTAAAGCATTCCCCTTAACGACTTACATTCAGGACTGATCTTAAAGGGAATGTCTCACATTTGATGATATTGAAGCAAGCATCAAATGTGATGAAACAAACTCACTTAGACCTATTGGTATAATTTTTAAGTGGAAAGTTTGCTCTAGACAGCGCGATTCTCTATTCATTAAATGTGTTCCTCAATGTGTCACGGTTTCATTGCATCATCGTACCTTGCATAACATTGAATGAGAGCCAATTGACTTCCGTGATATTGAGATGTAACGGAAGTCAGTTAATGTGATGTGATAAGATGTGATATAATAAAGTCAATAAATCAATTGGCTCTCATATAATGATAGTCAATTGGCTTCTGTATCACGTTCACGAACGCCAGATATGAACGCCTCGACAAATGTGCACTCCTTGGCCTTGATCACCGCATGGGTTATGAAATGACAGAATTTGAATAACGTTATTATGACATTGTGAATGTCAAGCTTACTTTAAAATGCTCTCCCCGATACACCTTTCTCCATTTTCGCGGGCGTGTAGCTCAGCAACGAGAGGAGCTTAGGTCTTAAGAAGTGCAGGATTGCGAACAGCACCGGAAGGTCTTCAAGATGGCCATTTCATTTCAACACCCCCACATAAATGTGGATCACTCCCTTTAACGTACAATTTCCCGGTCTACAACTGGCATCCTGATAAATCTGAGTGGTCAGGCGAATGTGGGATAAGGTAACAATTTATTCGCCCATATCCATGTATACATGCATCCATCCATGAAGTATCCAAGCAATCTGCCTACATGTTCTTCAAGTTCAGTAATATGATATTCTGAGCCCGACTTTTGTCAACTTGGGACGCTACAGTCTGGCTGCTCTCCCCTTTGGATCCGCCACTGGACATGTAAAACATACAAATTAGAGTCTAACTCGGATTAAAATTGAGTCATTGTCCTCAGCTTCAGTGCCTTATTATAACGTCTAAGTATTGCTTTGCCGACCGATGGTGTCTATAAAGCATTGCATACTTTGCTTCTAATAAACACATGGGAAATATTATAACGAATGCACTAATTAAACAATAAATTTTGAGTATTCACCTCCCGAGTGTCTTTCTAAAAGCTACCAAGTTATAAGCAAAAAGTTAAGGACGACTAAAAAAATGTCAGGTGTTGATAGCGTCGAATGCCTCAAGCCATAAGTCGCTCATAAATAGCTCAAGCCACACTTCCCGTTGAAAAACATGCTTTGTTTACGCCGCTGTCTTACTATCATTGTGGAAAAACAAGATGGTATATCATTGCTAGCGATTTTGGCTTCACCCATGGCTCATTCTTACTTCACCCGCAGTAACAAAACGTGTTTGTTGTCTACTACCTACTACCATGTAGGAAAGCAGTCTTTCAGTGTTTCCAACTTACGAATGATGTGCGTTTTTACACACAAACATTCAAGTATGCCAAGCAGTGGGGCGCTGGCACTGCCTCCCGGGCCGTGAGACTTTCTGGTGTCGTGTCTGTTGCGGTCGTGTCGCGCCTCACTGCATTATCTGCCGTTGCAGATGCGTTGCAGTGTTGGGCGTCCTGCAGCTGGTACCAACTGAGGGACATCTTTACCGGCTGCCGCCGGCGCGCTGGGAACTGCAGCAGGGTAGGGCTGAGCCGTCTCCGGTGCATCTCGAGTTACCACCCGCTCCGTCGCTGGACGAGCTCGAGCAGCGCCTCAGCTTGTCGCTGGACGAGCTCGAGCAGCGCCTCGGCCTGTCGCTGGACGAGCTCGAGCAGCACCTCGGCCTGTCGCTGGACGAGCTCGAGCAGCGCCTCGGCCTGTCACTCGGCTCGGACGAGCGCCCGGCACCGGACGCGCTGGCGGCGGAGCGCGGCGCCGAGCCGCGCCGTCGGCTCCAGAAGAAGGCGCTCACGCTGCTGCGCCGGCTGCCGCTGTCCATGTTCCAGCGCGGTGGCCCCGTTCCGGACGGCGAGCGCGGCACGCCGACGGTGCGCAAGCTACGTTTCGGCCGCCGGTAGCGGCGCGGACGCCGCCGGCGGTGACGGCCCAAACCCCGACAGCGACCCGGCGGCCGCCGCTGCCCATCCTGGCTGCGGGGCTCGGCGCCCGCGCGGCATCCTATTACCGCGTGCGCAGGCAGAGGCCAGCTGCCAGGTGGCCACGGGGGTCTGAAGCCAGTCGTCGTGGTTGTTCGCTCGGCGTTGGGCCGAAGCGGCAGGCACCTGGGCGGGTGCACACCCGGCCGCTGCTCCCTGACACTACGTCAGGACGACCTGATGGGTACCATGTCTGCGCTCGCGTCGTTCCCAGTCAAACCTCTTCCACCGGCGACCCTGGGTCACCGCCCGTTCAAGTGTTGCGTGCGTGACCCCTTCAGCGACTAGCGGAGAGGGCGCCGAGTCTGCCGCGGGCGACCGGGCTCCGTTACCCCGGCCGTGTCCGACCTGCTCCTCTCGGAGCTCGCTGCCCCGATCGCCGGACGCGCGGCGCCAGCTCCCTGTGCTCAGTTATCGCCGTGCGGCCCCCTGGAGCCGCCGGTGCTTGGTTCGCGGCGGTAGCTCTATGTTCTCTCGGAGTCCCGCTGCGTGGTTCTGTTGTGGGGGCGACACGTAGAAGAGCATGGCCGCGTAGTTAACCTCTCACCGCCCATGTCATCGTGGGTTATGGTTGATTACGATCCTGTCGCTTGCAACGCGTACGCTCATCTGTTGTCAGTGTACATAACGGTTTAACTGAGCAAAAAAACAAACATTGCACGGCACACACTGTTATATTGGGACGTGCGAGGTGACGTAAGACGTGCACACGTGGACCCACCTGTTTGCCAATACGACTGCCTGTGCGCGCCCTCGTTAGCTTCTGCTCTTCCCCGGTCGCTGAGACGCCCGGCTGCTGAGACATGTTCGACGAATACAACATGTGAGCAGAATCGTAAGCTGACAGTGTTGTACGGCAAATTCACGTAATCAAACAACCCGCACCTCAACTGCCAACGATTTATCATTCCCAGGTTGTAAGGAATTGGCATTGTGGCCACTGAGAAGCATGTGAACCTGCGCTTGCTGGTTTCAAAGGCATGAGAGCTCGGAAAATGTGACTACCATGTTAGACCGAGACGTTCAAGTTTAAAAAATTAAATCATCGTAGTGCGGATGATGCTCATGTGGCCCGTGGCCTACTTCTGACAGTTATTCTGGCATTTGGCGGGACTTTGGATAATGATGCAGGAAAGTTCTGGTCCTGGTAACAAATAGAAAAAAAACTATTTTAATTGTTAAATTCAGCAATAAACAATGAGCATCAATTGATATCGTTGTCATCTCTCGTCAATACAGGGAGGGAGAATGCGACCCATGTAATTCTCTGGGTCCACCACTGGGAATGCAACGCCGTTGCACGGTAACTCATGAATAGTAAACGACGAACATACAGGCCCGGAGGGAGCATTGATACACAACTTGCAAATCATTCTGACCTCGCCTCCGTTGCGTCAAACCTTAACGTGCCACTTAGGTTGGTATGAATCACAGCAAAGGTAGTTCATTTACACAATATTACAATAAGCTTGAAATGACATGATAAGAGCGTGTAAGAATGTAATATCTTCGACACTACGTCAAGACGCATACTCCTTTCCATGTCCAATGTTCATGCAAAAGGAAGCTTGACCATTGGGGAAGCGCTTAAAAGCATCCGGTAAAAACGATAATTGGCACAAAGAAGTAAGCTCAAGATACATTATCTATGGTGCACTTGGCATCAGGAACAATCTTGACACTTTGTTGTGTCATTGAGTCATGCTCCTCTACATCACGAAAGCCGTGCATTGAAGAAATAAGCACCGAACAGGAAACGTATAATGCAAATAACATGCACTTGGCAGAACACACACGATAGCGTACGCCTGGCTGCATTAAGGACACTGCCATTAGATGCTCGAGTCTGGTAGGTTTGTCTTCGTCTCATCTATCCGACACATTTATTTATTCACAACATAACACACCAGATTGAAAGAGTGGGACCTGCTCGATTTCAATCACAACAATGAACTCGACCTCAAACACGAAACATGAAAAAGCAAAACAAAACAAACAAAAAACCTGTGCCATCTTAAGGCATCAGCTTGGGAGACATATCTGTTCTATTTCAGGCGGGATTGAACAAGCCAACTCGCAATCCCGGCCGTGACACTGCATTTCTATGATCTTCATCTGTATCCGTATATCATCCCTCGGCACCCTTAAAGAGTGCCCTTTTCGGCGTCCACTGCGCTCGCACCGGCCTGCGGGGACCCTCGTCGGCGCATGGGTCCGTCGATGACGATGATGATGGCGACGAGTGAATCGCTCGTCACACGAACACGAATCCGTGCGCGCATCGTCGAGATCTAATTGGTCGGTCTTCGGGCGTGCGATGCGATCCGATAGCGCCATTGGCCACTTGTTTCCTTCCGTGCTGCTCCGCACACAGTGCAAGACAGATTGTTCTTGGCGTCTGTCAGAGCGGTGATGACTGCGGCGTCGCACGGCCAGCCAGCCGCTGCGTTGCCCGATCCCCGCCGGGTGGCCAGCCGGACGGGCGCCTGCTAAAGCCTTCATATTTTTTTCTGACATGTTCTGCCCCCCTAATAACTGTTGAAAGTTGTCCCGTGCACCTTGAAAAATGCACTGAATACGTTTAAAGGCGGGCACTGGCGCAACATTTTTCTGTTGGCCTCTATAACTGTTGCGTGCTGTCAATATCCCAAGCACCACGGATAAGTCTCAAAATCATGTGTTATTATGGCTCCAAAGACCATTTGGGTCGAATTCGACTTCAGCGATCGCAAAGCACGCTCTGGTGATCCTTTCCATGGCAATGCCTTCTGGTCTTGGAATATTTATTACTCATGAATACGCAACGAATATGTTGTCAATTTATGGCGGACTTGGGGATTCCTGTGACAACAAAAGGGTTTCGGCTTCAGCTACATGCAAAACTCGTACCAAGAGGCTCAAGCAACTTTTCGGCGATGACTTGGTATGTCTGATGAATTCAGCGGTTGAAAACAACAAGAGGATAGTTTTCAATATGTCAGGAATTGTGGTTTCCGCCACATTTGAGCCAGAATTAATACAATGTGCATCGTGCAGCGTTGAGTCGCATCCCGTCGTGTCATCGGCGCGTTGAGTCGCATCCCGTCGTGTCATCGGCGCGTTGAGTAACATCTCGTCGTGTCATCGGCGTGTTACGTAACATCCCGTCGTGTCATGGGCGCGTTGAGTAACATCCCGTCCTGTCATCGGCGCGTTGAGTAACATCCCGTCCTGTCATCGGCGCGTTGAGTAACATCCCGTCGTGTCATCGGCGCGTTGAGTAACATCTCGTCGTATCATCGGCGCGTTGAGTAACATTTCGTCGTGTCATCGGCGCGCTGAGTCGCATCCCGTCGTGCCACGCTACATCACGCCGCGTTGCATAAAATACGCCCAGTGTGAGGTGGTAATGCCCTCCGGTAACCTGGCCGGAAACAGCAAAGACTCCGGCCAGAAAAACAAAAGCTGGCTTACAAATTTCTAGTCCTGGAAGTAAACCATATCAATAAAACTGAAAACGGTGGTTTTTTACCTTTCACCGATGTTGCGGGCTGCGGGATAATAATGCAATGACAATAATGCAAACAGTCAACTGCAACAAACACGTATATGAGGCTTATGTTTTGTGTAAGAGCCATGCAACAAGATGCAACTTTGCAGGACAGATTCACGCTTTTTGAGTCCTGTGTACAGTAAAATACAGATGTATGTTCGCAGCCGATACCGATCATGAACTCCCTGTAGAGCTAACGTCCTCAATACTAACGGACGTTCCAGCGCATCATTTCATGACATGTTACGTCGCATAGATGGCAGGAACAAATCCAGTTTCTTAGCATCAGATAACACCACTTAAAACATTTAATGCACCATGAATGTGCACAGTGAGTCTTCACAGTATGCGATAGACCGCGCATGAGAAAGCAAGAAGCCCAGCATTTCACCCCGTCACGAAATGAAGAGCATCTAGGAGTTGCATTGCTTGGACGACGCATTCATGCGTCTAGCAGCGGTGGGCAGCATCCACAGGCTGCTAAGGCTGTGTAGCGCCGCCTGACGCTCAGCCTGGCAGGAGGGGCGGGGAATCGCGGGGAGCTGCGGGAAATCAAACTCCGTGCCTCTAGTTTTTCAGACGTAAAGCATAACCTCTACATTCTCGGTGCCCCAAATCTACGTTTCGTAACCTACGTGTAATGCACAGGTCAAACGTGCCGGTGGAGCCTTGGAAAGTCTTGTTGAGCCAAACCGTCTTTTTCTGCTTAGAACAGAACCTTGAGATCTGATCAATGCCGGCGCTCAATAGTGTGCATTATAGTGTGCATTCTCTCGCTTCGCTGGAAGTACGCGCACTGCCATTTCAGCCGATGAAACAGCTCCGGTCTCATTTTATTTGTGCGGATCTGGGGAAAGGAAGCATTGAGCGGTTAAGCTTTTCCTGCTTCCAGAATGAAAAAACCGTACTCGATGCTAGTTAGGGATTCGTATTATTTTTGCCAAATTGTCAAATCATTGACCAAGTCAACAACCTTGTAGAAACCGCAACCGCACTCAGGAAAGTAGCGTTTAGCCTTTGTTGGGACGATGCGTTTTGTGCGACAACATAACCGCGATACTAAAAGCCGCCTCACGTTGGGCACTTCGCTGTATGGCATCTAGATGTGATACGATGCGTATTACTTACGCGCGTAAGTAATGTAGCAAAAAAATCACACAAACGCACACTGTGATATTATAGACATATAGTTTCTCACTTTTTATTTTGCACGCCACTCGTCCAGGATGGACGGGGCTTCCGGCGGGGCGTGGGACGGCGAGCAAGCCGGCCATGACCAGGAATTCCCCCATCAAACCAAACACGACGATCAGGCCGAGCGGTGCCTGAGAGCTAAATACGAACCGTCGGACGCTCCGGCCGATCGGCCCACATTTGTTGACCGGATCTG